CATCTTTTTGCTTAATTAGTCACGTTAGCAGGATTAGTAAGGAGGAAAAAAAAAACCCAGAGCTGCCATGGTGCGTTTGGACCCACCCGGCCTTATTTTTACTCGCTATAATTACAAAGCCTGCCGTCATAAAGTAGATAAATAAACGGCCTTCCCACATGGGGTGAAAGCTGCATCTCTGTTTGTCTTTGAAAGTTTGAAAAGATATTTTTTTAGATTCCAGAGGACATATCAGGCGTCGATGATCCGCAACACGAGGTCAACGGATGTTGTCGGGGGAAGACACAAAACATTTAACCGCTGTGAGTTGAGATGTTGTTTTTTTTCTGTGGTTTGTGTCACGGAAAAGAGGAAAAACATTTTTTTGACCCGAGCATAGCTCATGGAAGTATTTTAAGCCTCTCTCTTCTCTTTTTTTTTTTTTAACCACTTTAAAAACTGTGGTTCTTCCAAAACCAAATTGACATTTTTTTGAAACCACACAGCTGAGCCGAGACTACTTTGATCCGCCAAAGCGCAGCAGGACGTGAGGCATGAAAAAAAACAAAGAGAATGTTGATGGCAAAATATCTGTAGCATTACATTTTTAAAGGGAATTACTTCATGTTTTTTTTTTGTGTACTTTTAATGTTGTCAATTTGATGTCATTGCAAATAGCTCGATCATGCCTTCAAATATGAGATTTTATTTTTGACACATTAGCAACAATTTTCGATGGACATTTTTTCACTTTTCAATTTTGGCTAATTCGGTGTAGAATTTCTCAGCAAAATTTCAATTTGATCCATTTTGTGATATGGCAATGTGTGACATTTTTGTTCTCTCAAAGGTGCCTTCAAATTTGTCATATTAGGAGTGGGGTTTGTCATGTATTTGAAAACATTTCGAAAAGGTTTCTCAAATGTGTTGCTCAAATTTTGTGCATAATTTTATGACATTTTATTTAATTCAATCCATTTTGGAATATGGATGTGACATAAAATTCATTTGAAACCACACTCGTGAACATGTCGATCGGTTTTAGCTCCATCATGCTCATGACTATGCCTACCACGTGGCCTTTTGAAACCAAATTTTAAGGATTTTTGGTGCATCGTTATCATAACAGTACCAGCTTATAAATCGGACACATTATTATTGTTATTATTATTATTATTATTATTCCATCCCCCTTTTGTGAATAGGATGTTATCTATTTTTGCTCCATCATACTCATGACTATGCCAGCCACATACCCTTTTAAACGAGACGTTCCGGATTTCATGACTATACCAGCTACATACTGTCGCCCTTTTAAACAAAAGGTTACCTATGATTTGCTTCGCCGTTTTCATGACTATGCCTTATACCCCTTTTAAACAGATATGTATTTTTGCTTCATCATGCTCATGACTATGCCAGCCACACGCCCTTTTAAACAGGACATCACCTATTTTTGTTTTGTTCTGCCTTTGGGACAAGATGTTTCCTATTATTTTCACTTGGTGCTCAAAACTAATGGTGTCAGCTAAATTTTTTTTACGTTACTTATTTCTGCACCATCGTGCTCATGACTATGCCAGCTATTCAGCTGGCTTTTAAATGAGACGCCTATTTCTGCTCTCCTGCTCATGACGAATCCCTTCAGCCTAATTTTTTAACAAGACAGGATAACTTTTTGCTCCATCGCGCTCATGAATATACCAGCACCACACCGGTTGAACGTGTCACATTAGCCCCCGTTCAAGAGTTCCCGGGGCCGATAATTCTACCACTTTGGCCGCAAGTGCGGCCATTAATCCCCATTTTGCTGCATTCGGCACGTGGAAGGATGTCACTAAATGATCCATGGCACTCTCGCACCGTACAACTAATACACTCCTCACAGCTCTGAGCCTTTCATTCTTCTCAATTACCACTCCCCACTTCTTCTTTTTCACACACGCGCGCGCACTTCCATCTCGCTATCTAAATCCGCTTTCCCGATTTCTGTCTCCATTTCATCAGCCTTCGTAGCTTCTCAATAACTCGCCTCCTGTTGCGCTCTCCGGTCGCCTCTTCTTAAAGAACCGAAGCCCTCCAACCCCCTGTTGATTCATCTGACACCGTCCCCATTCACCCACCGTACACACCACCACCTCCCATCTAGTCAGCTGCAAAGCCACCTTGGCTCTGCTTCTGCTGTGGTGGCTTTAATTCCTCCTCATCCTCAGCCCTCCTGCAGCCTTCGCTTGCGCGCGCGCGCGCTCTCTCTCTCTCTCTCTCTCTCTCTCTCTCTCTCTCTCACACACACACACACACACACACACACACCCACACGCACGCACGCACGCACGCACACGCATGATGTCATCTCCTGTTCAAGCAGGCACACAATGACATGCACACACAAATTTCTGCTTTTCACAGACATTCACTGTCAGTTGCAGTCTTTCTCTCTCTCACACACACACTCTCTGTCACACTTCGTCTTCACACACACACACACACACACACACGCTGTCATTCTGTCTTCAAGCATACGCATACACACAAGCGCACACGCTGTCACATGGCATCTTCACACATGCACACGCGCTGTCACTGAGATTTCCTGTAGACAGCACCATGCACATGCACACGCCCACACAAATTATTACATTATATACACATTATCTCTTTACAAGCGTGCGCGCAAATGCATAGTCTTATTGCACCCCCCCCCCACACACACACACACAAAACAAACACTTATTCTCCGCTAACACAATCTAACTTCACAAACACACACGTGCACAGGCATTAGCTTACTCAACACGCGAACGCACACACGCCTGCTGTCTGTCTCTCTTCACAGCCTAAACTCCATCCAAGCGTGGTCACGCACACACGCACACGCGCGCGCGCGCACACAATGTCAAGTGGTGGAATGAGAAGGTTCCCTCCTCCAATCTCAGACGAGGACCATTTGACAGCGTGTGTGCGTGCGTGAGGCAAAGAGTGATTGGTGCTATCGGGACAGCTGGATCACTTGCATTCACTTGGAAGCTCTCTGGTTCGCTTGACTTTTTAAAAGGGCCAGCACGTCTAAAACAGACAAGGCCGACACCTTTGAGAGCATCAACCATCCGACCAGATAACCAACTGCTGCAGCTGACCAATATTAATTGATTGGCCAAACGATTAACTAACTTCCCAACTAACTGCAGAATGAACGCACTATTTACCAACTAACTGAGGTGCTAACTAATTAAGTAGCCTAGCTAACTAATAACTAACGAGCCAACCAACAACTCCGCTAATTATCTAACTACCTAACTAAAACAGAGTACCAAATTATCAAACAAAGTAACAAGCTAAAGAACTAGCCAACTAAATACCAAGCTACCTAGCTAACTAACACTCTCGTAAAAGGGCCTGTACGTTATGACCAAATGTACTGTAGAATTTGTCTTCCTCTTCCCTATCCTGAAGTAAGTCAAAGAGACGAGTCCAACACCTTTGAATGTGGAAAACTTTCACTCATTTGGGGAAGGGAAAAAAAATCCGCCAAATCCAATTTGTCGAAGAAGAGGTGTTAGCGAGGGCTCCTCCATCTCTCTTTTGCTCGCTCCTTCGCTCACCATATCGACTTTGTTTCAGCGTTAAGAGAAAGAATAGATAATCTGTCCTCAGGCAAGCCGCTCCTCCTACGCTTTGTGTCCTCACTCCATTCTTTTTGGATTCGTTGTGATCCATAATTACGGCAAACATTGCCAAAGGATCAGGACACAGCGCAAACCTGACATTGCTTCATACGTATGAATCATATCATAAAACCACTTTGAACAGTGACGGACAAAAGATGCATCATCATCAAATACATAAATAAATACGGTGGGACATGCCAGAGTATTACATAATATAGTCATTCCATTTGCCCCTAAAGAATTGTTTTTGGATCAAAATAACCGTAAATATATATATAAAACAACAATAATAAATGTGAGGGGACTGTAGCAGACTGGCCTGTGTGGACATTCTCGCTAGCCCTCACGCTGACAGGAAGCGAGTCGGGTCAAAAGCCACCTGGCTGCAATTTGTCAGAATATAAGGCCAAGTAAAAAAAAGTCAATTCATTTGTCTTCTCCTGACGTCTCCTCGCCGCCTATTTCCCGCCGTTTATCAGTCACGAACCCCGGGGGTTGTCCGACCTCATCCCTTCATGCCGACATCCGCACAGCCTTTTATTGCCGGATCGGGACGCTTATCCCCGGCGAGATCCGCTTTCCGACTGGATTTCGCAATCGCCGCTGCCGCCACTGTGTTGCGTCTCAAAGCAGTAACATAGCGCACAAGCTGGGCACACACTGGGTGAACAACACACAGGCTTGGACAACAAGCTAACTAACTACTAATTACAAACCTGCAAAACAACTCCAACAACAACAACAACCAGCATTTAACTAAGACTGAAAAAAAATGGTTGAATTTGGTTTCACAAAATAATATAATCTTGGTCCAGATGAATTTTGGTTGTATTGTCAACCTAGAAAATGCATCTGGATCCAAATGATTTTATTTCGTGTAACAACTTGATGAAATAAAATTGAGTAAATTCAATTCATATTTGGGAGACTTGACTTGGAATGGCTAAAATCAATTGGTGCAAGGTTAAAATCATATTCATAATTAAACATTGTCGGCCTTTCTAAATGCTCTAAAAGCTTTTCAGGCCTATTTTGAAAGAGTCCAGGCTCAGGATAGCTAGCGTCGTGGTAGTAGAGTATAATGTCTACACTTGTATGACATGAGTTGCAAAAAGTGAGCCTCGTTCTCATTCAAGCTTTTTAAGGAGAATAAATAAATAAACACATTTTAAAAAAAGCACTCACTCGTGGAAAGTGAAGATATTAAACACACACATGCAGAAACACACACCGAGACATATGGGCACAGGCGGGAACGTGGCAAGGATGTGCGCGCACGCACACACACACACACACACACACACACACACACACACACACACACACACACACACACACACACACAGTTCCTACCCTGGAGTTCCATGTCCCCGCGGAACCATCGCAGCCTGGCGGGGGGCTTGCTGCCTGTGCTGGTGCAGGTCAGGGTGAGCGTGCCGCCCTCCTGCACGGGATGCTCCAAGCCAGAGATGTGAGGCTTACCCGGGACGCCTGACGGCAACAAACAAACAACGCCCAGAATTGGATCGTGTGAAATACGACATGCATCCCATTTTCTTCCATATGCACAAGACAAGCATGCAGGAGAAAACGGCATTTTCTTTGGTAGCTGTCCACTGGAGTAACTGATGCCCAACTTTGTCATAAAACATCCAGAAGAAAACATCTTTAACAAAGAAATATCTGTAGTGACTGCAACTTACTGTATGCGCCCTTTTTTTTCTTCCAATTGCTGTGTACTCTCGTGACTGATGCGTCACTGTGTAAGCGCTGTGTTGTTTTTAAACGTAACGGTAAGTAAAGGTTAGCTTTTGTGTGAGGCTTCTCCGTCACGAGCAATAAAGTACGCTGGCGCTTTATTGATTGGATTGCGGGCTAATCATCTTTGTGGCGCACCACATGCACATGCACGTACGCACACACACAAGTCTTTCAAGTATGGATTTGTCTGGCGCTCTTTTTGGCTGTCAGCTAATTGTGGCCATATTTCCTGCCTTTTTTTTTCGTCTTTGATAGTGCGTGCGTGTGTGTGTGTGTGTGTGTGTGTGTGTGTGTGTGCGTGCGTGTGTCTAAAAGGATGCTGCGCCCTAATTCTCCAGGAAATAAATGAGTAATTAGCAACAAACAAAACAGGGAATTAAACACTCACATTGTGGCAGTAAGTGCATTAATCCCTCTTGTTGTTTGTATTTTTTTTTTTGGGGGTTTTTTTTTGTGGGGGGGGGGGGGGTTCGGTCAAACGAGACAGGCCCCGCCTGTTGTAAATGTTTATTTTTGTCAATTGGTGCACCAAAGTTAATCAAAAGTGGCAAGGGCCGGCTGAAATGTCAGCAGCGGTGGGAGGCAATTGTGGACAGCGGTCTCCCAAAAAAAAAAAAAAAAAAAGGACAAATATTGCTCCTCTTTGCCTTTTTTATGCTACTGTTGTCAAATATCATGGGTAAAATATTAGGAGTAAGTAAAAACAAGTACAGTGAAAACAACTGCAGTAATAAAACCTAAAAAAAAAGTTTTAAAGTCAAACTTTTTTGAGGGGAAAGAAAGCCGTGTATTGTGTGCTTTTTTGTTTTTTAATGTTGTCAGTGATGGCTTGAAGGTAATTAAAAAAGGTGGCTCGGGACCCCCTACTGTCAGCCAAGGTGTGCTTGTGCAGCAAAAAAAAACCCAACAACAACAAAAAAAAAAGGAGTGCCTGTTCACTTATGCAGTAATTGTGCATTTTGCAGTAATTGACAGCAGCGGCACTGTGTGGATTTTGCCTTGCATACATTTTTCATCACCCTTGAGAAGCATCAAAAAATTGAAAAATGTTGAAAACTCTGCGCGCCACATAGTGGCGGGACAAACGGAGTGTGGCAACAAAACACGCATGTGCGCAGTTCATTTTTTTTTTTTTTCATCTCGTCGTGCGCTTCCTCATTACCCCATTGTGGAATAATTCATCAATTTTTTCTTGTGCTTCTCTGGACACCCGCGTCTGTATGTGGACAATTATCATTCCCTCATTCATATTCAATGCTCCTTCATAGCCCGCACACACATTCACACACACGCGCGGCATGAAACGCTGCGAAATGAAATATTGAGCATGCTTTTTTTTTTTTTTTTAAATCTGATCGATACTTCATTGTGGTTGAGAGCCACATTTGGCAGGCAGGTGCCTTGTGACTTTCACAAGGTCAGTCAAACAATCCTCTCATCCACTGTCATCCCACAAGGATTCGTACCACAGACAATTGGGAATAATCTGACGTAATCACGTCGGAATAAAGGTCTGTTTGATGTCATTTTGTGTAAATTATGTATTTTTGGAGGGGGGAGGGAAGGTTGTATTTTGGAGTTCCTAGAAAAGTTTTTGTTACGGATGACTATTTTTGGCGATGATTTTTTTTTTTTTTTTTATTAAAAATGTTTCAACTCAACTCAACTGTATTTCTAGAGCACTTTCAAACAGCCATCGCTGCACACAAAATGCTGTACATGGAGCAATTGAACAAATACAACAAACAGTCAAGCAAATCGGTAATAAAGACGGTAGAAAGCACCGAACAGCAAAACCGAGAACAAATCTAAGTCATGCTGAGTCAAATGCCAATGAATATAAGTGAGTTTTGAGGCGGGTTTACTCTTCTTTGTGGAACAACAATAACTTAAAAATATAAACTCGAAATTTAAAACTTAAAAAAGTTGGATTGTCAATTATTTCTCCGCTATTGCAAAATTATATGAATTCCCAAAATATAGTAATCCTCAACTAAATAGTTCAGCAAGCCACTTTTTTCTTTAAAAAATATTTTCCGAAATTCAAAATAAACTGAACAATTCCCCAATGCCCCCTCAAAATTTACAATAAAGGTCAAATGATTCTTAACTTTTTCTAAACTATTTATTGGAAAAAAAGAAGCTTTCTTTCACAAAATTACAATTATTGTCTGAAGAAAAGGGTGTTTTTTTCCTTTTTAAAAAATTTCATTTTATTACACATTTTCTCAAAATAACAGATTTTAAAAAATCTATGTTTTTTTTTTAATAAAAATTACATTTTCCCAGCAATTTTCCATCATCTGCTTTCGGAAGTACAACCTATTTTCAAAAAAGCAAAACGGTTATTACATTATTTATTTTCCAAAATTGACACTTAAATAAAAACTACATTCAAATATATTTCCAAAGAGAAATGTGATGATTATTTATCATTACTACGCTCAGAAACAACAACAAAAAAAAAAATCCAAAAAGAAGAACTTATATTTCGTATTATAGAGTGGCAAATATTTTGTAAAAATACACCTAATTTGCAAAAACGTAACTTTTTTTATCCCCGAATAAAAATAGATAAAAATTTCGCTCACCCCAAAATAATATTTTAACAAGGAGTGGAATCAAACGAAAATCTAAGAACATGTAAAAAAAATATAGTAATAATAATTTTCATAATAATTTTGAGGAAAATTACAATTCTTTGGTGACCAAAAAATAAGTTCTGACAAAAAAAAAATAAAAAAATCCCTCGTCAGACAGCTGCACCTCGGAGATGATGATGGAAAGCTCAGTGGGCGTGGAGCGGTGCAGCTGGATGCGGTTATCTCGCAGCGCTGCAGCAGGAACAACAACAAAGACAACAACGCATTTGTGGGTAAATTTCATCCAAACAACCTCATTAATATTTCACGCAGAACCCACTCCCACTGGCCAACGAGCCGCTTTTTTCCTGCTTCTAATAGCTGGATGCCTCCTTTTCTACCGCTTTGCACATGTGAGCGTTTATGCACAGTCATCAGAGCTCTACACGGCATCCTGTACATCAGCCAACTCTGGCGCACCCCCGAGGGGTGCGTTAGCGTCATCCCATCTAATGAGCGTTTTTAATATTTACGCTGAGTCGGGTTGTTTTCACACCGTAGCCTGTATATCAAGGATACCCGGAATGTGGAGTGCGCACCACCAGGGATCTGTGAATCGAATGATATTTTCACAGCAGTTGCCATTTGATTGTTTGTAAAATACTGTATATGCCATTCATTATGTTTTTATCAAAACTTGTGTGCACGCCGCCAGGGGTGCGTAATCGCCATCCAATCTAATAGTAGTGTACATTTATTACTGTCCTGGAATTTTTGCTATGTCATATTTTTATATATTTAATATTTTCACCATGTATTTTGTACATCGGGGATTTGCAAAATGCGGCACGCGTACCTCCGGCGTGCATGAGGGACATTTCGTGTAAGGGTTGTTTGAGCAGGAATTTGTGCGATTCACAAACTGTGGTGTGCACACCCCAGTTTTTTACACATTCATACCAAGTCATGATATTTTTTCATCGAATTTCTGGGAATCCCTAACTGTCGTGTGCACAACCCCAGGAGTGCACACGATTGTCCTTCAATCTAATGGTAGTTTGTATTTATGACTTCTCTAACATTTAAGCCGAAACATGGTGTGATATACTGATGATGATATACTGGGTAGACTACCCAGTATATCATCAAACTGTAGTGCATACAACCCCAGGGGTGCGTGTACGCCATCCAGTGTGTCCTTTACATCACGGATTAACCAAACTGTGGTGCAAAGGTGTGTGGGGTGCATCAAACCAAACAGTTGTTTGCATATGATGGTTTTTAACTACAATGTAGTCAAGTCGTAATGTTTTATGCTGCATCATGTTTATGAGAGATTCTCATATTGTGCTGTGCACACCCCTGGAGGTGCGTGACTGCCAATTTAGTCTAATGGGAGTTTGTATTTATGAGTGTTCGAACATTTATGCGGGGTTGTGTTGTTTTTATTCGCAAACTGTGGTGTGCGCAGCCCAATAAGTGAGTAAGAACTGTCCCATGTAATGGCTGCTTGAGTGTTTGTCACATTTTTGCCAAGTCATGATTTGGTGGGCATCCCCCCAATGGTGCACAGTACAGTATGTGATATAGTTAATGTAATGCTGTTTTCTTTTGACAGTTTTTAAAATTTAAACGGGATTGTCCCCCCCCCCCCCACCCCAACATTGTATATCACCAAACAGTAGGGGTGTGCACAAGCGCCAACCAATCAAATGGGTGTTTTTAACATTTATGCCATTTGCTGATTCTCAAACTGTGGTGTGTGCACCCCTGGTGGTGCATGAGTGCATTCCAATTCATTCTTGATGTTTTTACATTGTTTTCTGTACATTATCAAACTATGGGGTGCGCACCCCTGGGGGCATGGGGGTGGGAGTGGGGGTGCGTGAGGGCCTTCCGTTGTAATTGCGGTTTGGGTATGAGAGTTTCTCACATTTATGCCAAGTGTGTGCCGTATTTCAGGGATCCCTAAAGTGTGGTGTGCGCGCACCCCCAGGGGAGCGTCAGATTACAAATGCATAAACGGGTACAATAAATACTCAATAACTATAAATCGCACGACAACACGGCGCCTTTATTAGCTATTTTGATGGGAGGGGGATTTAAGGGTGAGTTGCAGCAGGGGGGTGCGCCTACTCAGTGGGAGTACAAAGTTTTTGTCACAGCTTCTATGCTGAAACTGGTGTCATTAATATTGTACTACTTTTATGTGCGCTGCTGTTGGTTATTTGCTGCAATAAAGGGGAGAGGGGGGCTTTACAAAATGGAGATGAAAAGGCCCATGGAGACGGTGCGCGAGACAGAAGGGAGGGAGGACGAACAAAAGGGGGAGGAGGAGGACGGTAAAAAAATGAGGGGGGGGGGGACGAGGACGGCAGAGGTGAAATAGGAATATGGAATTAATGATTCCGTGTGTGTGTGTAAAAATGATGTAAGAGGAAGTGAGGAAAGCAGGAAGAAAGGGAGGATGAGGAGGACGAAGATGAAGGGTGACACGAGTGGGCGTGTCACAGAGGAGAAAGCCTCCAATTATGAGGAAGATGAGGATGATGATGTAATTGGATGAAATCCGATTCCTTGATAGTGATGGATGACCTTTGCTGCGTTTGTACGGTGGGATTGAGGCCTGCCTGTCTGTCTGTCTGTCTTTAGGACTTTCTGCCTGTCTCCTTCTTTGGTTGGCTGCTTGTCTTCTTGGATGTCTGTCTCTACCTTTTCGTTCTACTTGTCTCTCAGCCTGTCTGTCTGTCTGTCTCCCTTGCTTCTTGTTTGTCTCTCAACTGTCCATCATACCGTTGATCAGTCTCTGTCTGTCTGTCTGTCTGTCTCTCTCTCTCTCTCTCTCTCTCTCTCTCCCTCTCATTCTGTCCCTCGGACTGTCTTTCTGTCTTGGATATGTCCCTGTCTGTCTGTGTTTCTGCCTTCCTATTTCTATTTGTCTCTCTATTGTCCTGATGTCCATCATTCTGCCCGTCATGCTCCATCTGTCTCTCTGCCTGTTTAATTTTCTGTCTCTGTCCATCTCCCTGTCTTCCTGCCTACTTCTGTCTCCAATCATCTGTCTGTCTGCCTGCTGTCTCGCTTCCTTTGTATCCGTCTATCTCTCTATTGTCCTCACGTCCATCAGCCTGTCGGTCAGTCTCTATTTCTACCTGTCTCACTTGTCTCTCTCCTTCTATCTCTCTGACTCACTGTCTTTCAGTCAGTCTACCTGCTTTCCTGTCTCTCTACTTTTAGGCCTGTCTATCTTCCCATCTGTCTCCCTTCCTTCCCGTCTCTGCACTCAACTGTCTTCCTTGAACAGCGGGCCGTGAATATACCAGGCTCCCGGTTTGAAAGCAAAAACAAGCGAGCAGTAACAGTGTTGCTGCTGTTGTTGTTGTCGGCTTTCCACATGAAAGCACCTTTTGACGTCGCCGTGACAACGTGTTTGTTGACGCGCAGTCGGCCGTCGATGTGACAGGCAGCTAGCGCTCGGCGGTGCGTTAGCTCGGCAGAGCTTGAGAGGGGCCGACATGACACGTGGAAAAAGAGGTAGAAGTCGGGATCAGTGCCTTAAATATGCGCCGCTTTTTCTCCCCCTCGTCGTTATGTTGTTGTTTTCAAAGCCGCGTCACACTTGTCATGCGGCGATATCGCCAAAGGGAATTAATCCGGCGCTGCTAACATGCTAATCTGCTAGCGTGTCCTACTTTGTTGTCGTGTTTGCCGTCTGTCATGTTTTGACGTCTTGTAGCAGCTGAAAAGTGTTAGAGGGGGGGAAAAAATAATCACACGCGCGCACTTGCTTCCTAAACTGTGCTAGACCGAGTAAAAACGTTCAGTAGAGGTACTTTTCTCTGGAGCACAGGTGTTGAACGCATGGACTGGGGGCAAAAGCCAATTAAGCACAAGAACTTGAGTTTTTTTTTTTTTTTTTTTTCTCAAAATACCAACATTGCAATTTGTGTTAACCTTTAAAAAGCATTGTTGTTTGTGACCAGCTCTCCTTTTACAATCAACGGACTGGTACACTTCGCCGCTGATTTTGATACCATCCATCCCTCAATTTGTTGACTTTATGAGGTGAACAAACATTGACCATAGTTTCCACACTAAAAGGCGCATTAAAAGACGCAATCTACAATGCATCCACTAGATGGAGCTACGCTGAAGGAAACACCAACAGAACTATCAGATGTCAGGAAAACTTATTTGATAAAGCAGCGACACAGTTCAATTAACCAACAGCAAGTTATAACATTGACTCGTGAACGTTGAACTCTCTTGCCGCTGCTCTGTTTCCGTGTTCAACTGCGTAACCTGTTTTCGTGAACGGCGCCGGTATTTAGACATGGTATAAGCAGGAATTAATTTAGATCGACTTTCTGTCCTTCCGTCAGGCGCATCTCCAAGGACGCTACCTCACCGCGCTCGAATGTTCTTCTTGGCACAACCGGTCTGCCAAGTTGGCTGAAAATCAGGACCCGCCGGCATTTTTTGCCCCCACCGCAGTTGCACTGTTCAACAAAATTCAGCCAAGTGTTGTTCCTGATCTTTTTGCGTTCAGCCCTTTTTTTAATTACCACTTGTCCAGTCATCTTTTCCATCCCTTCAAAGCGTATTTCTCGGAGCAAGAACGCCATTGGTTGACACGGGATGACATCATCAAAGGTCACAGACTCGACTTTTCCTGGAAAAGTTATCATAACTTTTGAAAAGGAGCTCCAAGATTTACTTGGGGAAATTCTTTGCAGTGCCGCTGACATTTAAAAATGTCACAGCCTGTCTGTGTTTTTTTTTCCCTTTTCATTTTTTTCGTAGTACAAATGCAAAAAAAAAAAAAAACACAACAACCACAGACAAAGCTCTAATATTTATTCATTTTCGTTTGTTTATATTTTGACCATTTTGCTCCACTTCACTCAGTCATTTTATTATGAAGACCTACTTTAGTCTTTGTTTCACTTTGTGTACCTGTCACACTCACCCCCCTCACCCACACACACACACACACACACACACACACACACAGTTATTATATCCAACACTACTCTGTCTTCATGCTTTATCACTTTGCAAGGTCACTACATTTGTCTTCATGACCGGCCCTCTGACACACACACACACACACACACACACACACACACACATAGACATTCGTGTACACAGTTTCAGTGCCCCTGGACTTTGAACTCCTTTTAATTCTGATCTGGTCGCTTGACATCACACACATTTGTCATTTTCTGAGATTTGGGGAGTTTGATTTTTTT